TTCGAAGATGATGTGGTAGACACCTTTGAACGCGATGATGATGAAGAAATGCGATTACCGGAGTCGAATGTAGCAGGTCACATATTTCTCAGTCCCGGTGGTCAGCTTGTTAGAGGCAATAACCCAGTTGTTGCTATGGTGGAGGAAGTTTTCAGTTTAGTGGATGTTCCTCATCATGTTACGGCAACTGTAAGTGGCCGCGCCGCTGGTAGTCGACGCGATCGTTTAGCCTTTACTCCAGCCGAGGCAACGGAGTCTGGTTTGGTACAATCCGGTGCCTCACTCGGTAACTGGGGCTTAGTGTTTCCGGGTATCGGTTTCGTTGACGGTTTACATCCTCCTCCAGGATTTGGTATTCCGCCAAATGCTCCTACTTTCCGGTTCAACCTTGGTAACGGTCCTGGGAGTGGCACCCCGGTGTTTGTGACAGGCACCAGTACCAATCGCATCGCTCCTTCCGGCGTGAGTTTCTTACCATCAGGGAACAGAGCAGAAACCACGGGTTCTTCCAATCTCTCTCAACCGCTGCCACCAACAACTCTTGCTAGTCAGCATCCTATTCTGCAGGTAAGTCTTATTGTTGATCGATATCAGTGTTTATTACACACCATATGCAGTGTTTGTTTAAACCTATTACTGTGAAGAATTAACGCGTAACAAGAGTAATTAGTGATCACTGTCAGTCCGAACTTAAAAGCAAGTTTCCTAGAGGTATCAAGTTGGCAATGAGAAGGGTGGGTTCCTATTATATAGTTTCTCAAGGGAGATAAGTCACTTTCACCGCTAGGACTGATGAGATACAGGATTGGTTCAAAAGCATCTCTAAGCTGAGCAAGGAGTACCATCATTAATTTTCAAGTTATCTGTCCGTTTTGTTCAACATATTCTCCAGCAATTTAATGCTACAAAAGCGGGTTTCGCCTTGTCCTCTACGTTTGGTAGGATATTCGGGAGGTCGAGTTTCGTCTGTGAAGAATGGACAGTAAAAGTATGTCTTCTCAAGAAATCGGTTCATAACGCAACCCATGTTGTTGCTTCCTTAATCGTCCTTTTGTGATAGTTTCATTGTCAGTCGTCTCTTCGAATAGCCAAATCGAATGCATTTGACTGAAGTATCAGTGGTATCTTCCCACTGAAACCAGACCAAATCTTCGATTTCATCCCGAAGTTTGACCTTTTGGGTTAAACAGACTCAGGCATCGTAGTTGTTCATTGTCAAGCATTGTTTTTATAAACATTTTATTTTGTTCTTTAGGTTTTACCTGTATCGTTTGTCACAAATTCCGTCCCATTCTGTTTGGTCATTTTGTCGATGCATACCGTTTTCAGTTGAATTAAAAGGCATCCTCAAATTAACCGTCTTCTGTTTTACTTTGACCATTATCTTCATTTAAGTAGCTATCTACCGAGTTTCATTTCTGACGCGTATTTTATTTTTTCCTCCTTTAGATTCCGCCTATTCCGTCGGGATCGGTCTCTCAAGTCATAATTGCCACTTCGATCGGTGGGTCTTCGGGCTTGGCGGCAAACAATGCTCGTCTTAGTCGCACAATAGTCACAAACACATCCACTACCCCATCCGTTGTACGAATGAACCCCGCCTTACCCACGTTGATTTCACAACAGTCGTCGACGACAATACCATCGTTAATTTATGGGCATCGAAGCAGAGCGCCTGGAAGTTCTTCAGTCCCAATAGTAATAGGTAACAGTGGCGTACGCGTGCGTGGGCCATTAACCAGACTCGGTGGAACTATTGATAATTCAGGATCACGTTCTCATACCCCTCTACTTGAGAATGTCGGCGCCACTCCCTCCTCATCTCAGTCCTTAGATCTGGTCCGTGACGGTCGTTCTGGGCCGGAGGCCGATTCGCTTGTGTGGAACATGCTAACAAGCTTTGCAGAAGATCAGCCGTCATCTGTGAATTCCGCGCTGGCTGCAGCTATCTTTTCTCAAGCAGAAGCTCGAGCATCGGGCGGTGAAAACGCCCCTCTCGGAGTTGGAGCCACTCAACCAAACGGACTTACTAATGCTCAGCTGTCCGCTTATGCGGGCTACGCTTTACCGGCCAGTTATCAACGGTGGATTACGTTGTCTCGTATGCTTTTCGGACACGAACTAATGGATTTAGTGTTGATAAGCCGTCATAATGTTTATGCGGAGTTAGCTCGGAGGCGCCAACAGTCATTGGATTCTCGTGTGAAGGAGCTAGAGGAGGTAGCTGCACAACAGGCCGAAATGGGGGCGTCTCAAAGCGAGAATATGGGAGAGCAGTCTGCGGATTTTACTGCTGAGGGTCCACTGCCTTTGATAGTGACAACTCACAGCTCCGAGGAGCCAAGTTCAGCTTCAAATGTTGCGCAGCCTGTACCAACAGAGTCTTCCGGGGTCACAACATCTACGGATCAAGGTGAAACCCCTGGTAAATACACGTTCATCTTTTGAGAAACTTGCTTCTAAGTATATATATATATATAAATATATATATACATTTGATACTCTTTCTCTCACTTTTCGCTGACCAATGAGACCACTAACAATAATGAACGAAAAATTTGCCTTGGCTTTCATGCTTCTCTGTTTCTTTCCGGTCGATCCTTTGCTTTTTCACTTATTGGTTACTTCTATATCTCCACAGTGTTAGAAACGTCCGTTGCAACTAATCAACCGGCCGCCTCGGAAGCTGGAGACCAGTTGACAACATCAGGTACCCTTAGAAATGCTGTTCCGGATATCGACTCAGCTACGGACGTCACCACAGTCTCCGCCGCCGCTACTGTGGTC